GATAAGTAGCATATTAGATAGACCACGTAAATCAATAGTAATGGATCGAATTGTAAAAGAGACATCAGATAACAATATAATTATAATCACAGAAGGTAGTGAAATCAAAGAATTGATAAAAGAACATTTTCACAATTGGACAAGGAAAAGAACAACAGATACTGGGTTATTCAAAAAATGGGAGTCTGAATACACACCACTTAAAAAGATCAACAAGTCGTGATATGATACCCTTTATAATGAGGTCAAATTAGATGAATTAGAGGTAGTAATTCAATCTCTACCAAATAACAAAGTGTCGGGACAATTCAATCTTCAGTACGAATGGTTTAAAAACCTCCCACAAAAAGGTTTAGATATTTTTCGAAAGATAGTAAACGATACACTACTATTAAACGATATTCCTAAAAAGTGAAAAAAAGGCTATATCTATCCAATACCCAAAACTGCTGAGTGGGGTAACAATTTAAATATCACAAGACCAATTACATTATTAGAGACAGGCAGAAAAATCTTTATGAAAATCATAAATAACAGATTATCGACTATTTTTAAGAAACGAGAAATTCTATCAGAACATAACTATGTTGGCTTACCGGAAAATGATACACAAGGGCCTATACACATTATAAACAATATTATGGAAGATGTTCGCACTAATAATAAAGAATTATGGCTTATATTTCAGGACATGAGCAAGGCATTCGACTCAGTAAATTCAGACTGCTTAATTTTGGCACTATGTCATATCAAAATACCTGAAAAATTTATAGATCTTATGTCGAGACTACTAAAAAATAGGGAAAATAAAGTGATAACGGCACATGGAAATACTGAGTTATATAAAGTGGAGGATGGTATCGATCAGGGGAACATCATTTCACCATTAATGTGAAGAATTTTTTAAGACCCACTAATAAACTGCGTGGCAAAGTCAAAATTGGGTTATACAATGAAAGAGAGCTGGATAAACAATCTGTATCACAAAACACAAGCGAATATTAGCTGTGAGTTAGCAGT